TCGCTGATGCCGATTTCCTTCTGTTTCGCAGTCAGCAGGAGGGAGAAAATGAAAGCAGGCTGCAGCATTGTGGATAAGCCAGAAGGAGGAGGAGGTAAGGAAGTCTAAAGGCTGAGTTGTTCAGCTGTTACGAATTCTTTTCCCGGGATAAAGGAGCTCAGGCGGGATTAATTCCACCTCTCCCAAAAGCTCTCAGCCGTGGGCAAAAGCCGCGTGTGAGCGAGGACCGGTCAGACGTCTGCTCGACGGGCTGCCGGCGAGTGTTTGAGAGCGCCGGGTTTAGCACGCGAATAAATCTTCCCGGAGCCGTTTTATTTGTAAGGATTTGGGATCTCCGAGGTGGATTCCCCCTGCAGTCTGGTAGAGCTCGTGCCTGGTTTCGTCTCCCTCGCGGCCCGCGACAGTGGCTTGGGTGGCGTTGGGGAGCGACGCGACTTCTGCCGCGCTGCCGGAGCCTGAAATTGCGGCCAATGATGAACTGGGGGGGGAAACACAAACCAAACCCAAAACAAAAAACCCCAAACCCAACCCAACCCTCGCATTAGGAGTTGTGCTGGGAAACGATCCTGAGAAAGCCGAACTTGGCAGTTGCTCAGAAACATCTGCCGGCGCAGGCGTAGCTGGAGCGGGCTGCCGTGCTCTGAAATAAGGGGGAGCTGGAGTCGCTGAGAGCTGTCTGCCCTCCCCCCGCCGGCCAACATCAGCGCGCCAAATGCTCAAATCTGGATTATTTGCCTTATTTCAGCCACCTGGAGTCCAAATTGTAGCGACGTCTAAAGCATCTGGGCTCCTTCCCGCTGCTTTCTCACGCTTACGTCCCTTTCAGTTTTACCATTTAACTTTTTTTTGGTGGCGTCTGGGGATTCTCCAAGGAGAGGGGGCCTAAAACGAGTAAGAAAATGAGCAGTAGAGTAGGAGAGCCGGGTTCCTCCGCTTCCACGTTGAACGTTTAATAGAATTACAGCCCCCGGCGATGCTCTGTGGTCTCGCTCTGGAGAAAACGCGATAAATACGCAGTAGAGCTTGGCAGTTGTGAGCTCCTGTCGCTGTCTGAATTAATTTTCCCCTCCCCCCCCCCCCCCTTTTTTTTTTCTTTTTTTCCGTGTTTTTGGCCCTTTCCAAGGTCATCATTTCCCGGAGTGGGCTTACAAGACCGAGTCCAGCCCCGGCTCCCGACAGATCCAGTTATGGCATTTCATCCTGGAGCTGCTGCAGAAGGAGGAGTTCCGCCATGTCATCGCCTGGCAGCAGGGCGAGTACGGGGAGTTCGTCATCAAGGACCCTGACGAAGTGGCCCGGCTGTGGGGCAGGAGGAAATGCAAACCCCAGATGAACTACGACAAGCTGAGCCGGGCGCTCAGGTGAGGAGAAGTTCCCGTGGAGGTGAGGGGGCTGGTGACGAGCCCTCCTTCTGTCCCTCCCTGCCTCGTTTGGGTAACTGATTGTCGCTATTCAGTCCCTGGTTCGGTGGCACTTGCATTTCTGGGAGGGTTTGCATCGGGTTTTGAGTTCTGGGATGCCAGATCACTCGAGCGGGTCTGACCGTACTTGGGGTGCGATCGGAGAGACGGGGGAGGGAGCCCCTGGTTCACCGCGCCGTGGTCTGCGTCGCGGTGTAAATGTTCAGGTCGTTCTTATCAGGATGGCTTCCTTCCGGGGAGCTTTTCTGTCTCTTTTCTCAGCTTCCATCGCTGCCGCTGGCTTGAGCAATGAAGGTGTGGGAGGAAACCAGAGGTGTTCCTCTCTTATCACACCGTCAACGGTACCGGTTCAGAGAAAGCAACTCCCCTCTCTAACGTGATTTGCACTTGCCTCTTTACCTCTAAATCCGTGCGAGGCAGAGGGGTCGGCGCCGGTCCCACGGCAAGGGCCTGGACTGGGTGTTTCCCGAGCCCCGATGACACGATTTTGGGTATCCTTAAAGACACCCCCTGGCCACCAGTGTCCCCTTGTGTGAGCCAGGGGCTGAGCGTTCCTCGCTTTGCGCTTCACAACTTCAAAGCTTCCAGTACCACTTCGCCCTCTTTTATTTAGACTCTTCCATAGTTGGTTTTTTTTTCCAGTTATTGCTGGGTATTTTGAAGTCAGACAGTGGAAAACTAGCGGGACCCTCGGAAGTATTTCAGCGTTTCAAGCCTGTCGCCTGCAGGAGTGGCTGGGGTCCCGACAGGTTCTGGCATTATCAGGCTGTAACGTGGACTTCGCTGCCTTACGCCCTCTGATACCTCCCGGGTGGAGCTGACAAAGACAAACAAGGCAGCAAACACGAGAGTCTCGTACTGGAACAGGAAGGAAACAATAAATTGAGCGGCACCGAGGCTGTAATTGGTGCCTGGGAGTGGAAAACAGCCTCCACCTGCCAAGGCTGATCGTGTCTTGGCATCTTGATGCCGAGTGTGACAGTAGCGGGGCAAGAGCACTGCGGGTATCGGCAGCCGCTTCAGCTCGGGCCCTCTGGCTCCTTCCTCCCTCCTGCTCCGAGCTGGCCCCGCTTTGTTTGGTGCGCGCTGTGGCAACCGGCACCGTGCGTTAATCTGCCTCCTAAGTACGGAGAGCGGCGGCGACGGTCCGCGTGTAACACCTTTGTTGGTACACCGGTATTAGGAGGCCGAGGACAAACAGCGGTGGCGTAAGCGGGGAGGAGGCTGCGGTGGGGGTTACGCCCGCTGTCTCCGTGGCCGAATTCTCCTGCCTTCGTTTGGTGCCGCGGAGGTGAGGGAGGGAGGCTGGCCGGCGATCGGGGCTGGCTCCGAGCGCCTGCCCTCCGCACCCCTGCCCAACGCTGCCTGCGAAGGCGAGGGAGCGCTTTCAATCCGAGGGGGCGAACAGGAGAGGAGCAACTTGCTCACGGGCACGAGAGCGGCAGAAACCAGCTCTCCCGATTTCCAGCCCGACACCCCGTACGCTGTTACAATACCCTGGGCCTTGAAGATTGCAGAAATGAAAAAAACAAATCTGGGTAATTTGTTTTTTACAAATTACTCCGTCCCTGCGCCGAGTTTTGTTCTGCCCCAGCCCCCCGGGCGCACCTTCCCCTCTCTCAGGTTCTGTGTCTTGGCGCGGGTTCGCCTGAGTTTTCCCCTCCCGTTCTCGGTCCTGTAACGTTCCCCTGGCAGTCACGGCCCGCGTGGGGCGACCGTGCGTGTTTCGCTGGATGAGGGGCACC